AATATGGATTGGCTCTGTTTTTACAAACTGTTCCCTTCCATAAGAAGAGTATAACCAAGAACATATATTAAATAAAATTAACATTGTTCCCAGAAAAGTTACTGTATTTTTCTCATCTGCAGATATTCATTATTTTTCTGTTGGTTGTTGAGATTAACACGAGTTAAATGTACGTTTTTCTATGACATAAAAATTCTCTACACACAAAAATTCTGCCTGAGCATTTTTGTGTGTCAACTGTTGAAGATTTCTTATAAAAATTGATGCACAAAAATGTATACAAATATATATAATAGCAAATACTGCATCTGCCTAATGATAAGATTTTCTTTTAAACTGATTTTTTTAGGATTGTTAATTATATTCTTCAAAGGGAGAGTCACTTTGTGAAAAGAAATATTTCTACTCTTATACAATAAAGAAGAAATGGCAAAATATTTTTATTGTACTAAACAGTGAAATCCTAGAAGTCAATTTTGCAGTGACCTCATACTTGGCTTTAGTGGTATTTCAAATAATTAGCTAAGTTGCTATAGTAAAGAGAATTAAATGCAGTAACTTAATTAAAATATTTATCATAGCATAGTCCCATGGGTATTTGAGCCCCAAGTGATAGCAAGGTAATTCTGTCAAGGTCAACCAGTTGCTCCAGTGATCGCCATTTCTCATTCAGTGGTAGGAGAGATCCAAGGGATCCTGAGCAAGCTCCTTAAAGATGATCCAGAAGTTCTACCATTGATTCTGTTCATACCCCATTGGCTCAAATATAAGCACATGGTTAAATCAAACTACAAAAAGAACTGAGAAATACATGTGTCCAACTAAAACATGAGGGATCCTTTTACTGAAAATAAAAAATGAGAGGAAACTGACTAGTAGAGACGCTTAGGTATCAGTCTTTAGTGTATACAGATGTTTTATATTAATCCTTTAGGATTTTGTAAAGATGGAAAAATGCACATATAAAAATTTGTTAAGAATGTGAATGTATATCTTAGCCTTTATAAAATATGTTGGTGTATTCTCCATATTCATTATGTGTGATAATTTAATATTTAGATTGGTTTTTCAAAATAAAAGACTTAGTTTATAGCAGTTTTAGTTTTACAGTGAAACTGAGTGAAAGGTACAGAGTTTCCACATTCTCCATCCACACACAGATCTAGTTTCCAGCAACATTGCCCACCAGAGTGGCACATTTATTACAAGTGATGAATTTATATCAAAACATCATTATTCCTCAAAGTCTTTAGTTTACAGGAGTGTATACTTTTAGTGTTTTGTGGGTTTGAGAAATTGTATAATGACATGCATTCACCAGTATAGAAGTATGCAGAGTAGTTYCATTCTCCTAAAAATCCTCTGTGCTCTATCTACCCATCCTGTCATCAATGCTGCTTTCCTCTGGAACCCCTGAAAGCCAATGATCTACTGTTTCCATATTTTTGCCTTATCTAGAATGCATTATAGTTGGGGTCATACAGTATGTAGTTTTGCAGATTGACTATTTTCAGTTAATTATATGCATTTAAGGTTCCTCCATGCATTTTCATGGGTTGATCTCATTTCTTTATACCACTAATAATACTCCATTGTGTGGACGAACCATTTGAAACCATGTATCAATTGAAAAGTATCTTAGTTACTTCATTTTTTGGCAGTTATGAACAAAGCTGCTGTAAACTTCCATGTCAACGTTTTGTGTGGATATAACTTTTTAACTTCCTTTGGGTTAACACTAAGATGGGCAATTGTTGCATTGTGTGGTAGGAGTATAAGAAACTGACACACCATCTTCCAAAGTGGCTATACCATCTTGCATTCCTGCAAACAATGAAAGAGTTGTTCCATGCTCTACTCAGAATTTGGTGATATAAGTGTTCCAGGTTTGAGACATTCTTACAGGCGCAGAGCAGTACCTCTTTCTAGTTTTCATTTTCCTGATAATGTAATATGGAGTATCTGTACATAGGTTTATTTTCCATCTGAATATCTTCCTTGGTAAGGTATCTGTTACAGTACTTGGAACATTTTTTTTTAATTTGTTCTAATTAGTTTACACAGCAGTGGAATACATTTTGTCACATCATACATAAATGGAATGTAACTTCTCATTCTTCTGGTTGTACAAGTTGTAGAATCACATTGGTTGTGTAATCAAATGTATATAGGGTAATAATTAGTTTGAGAACTCAATCTTTACACTGTAGTTTTTTCTAGGCCTCTCAACTATTCTTTGGAGACTTTGTACCCATCCATTATTTCTTTTTGTTAATTTCTTTATTAAAGCAAATATAATTTTGGAACAAAATTTTATTCGTCAATTTAATAAATATTTAATGAACATCTATTAAATATAATAGATATTATTCTAATTACTTTGATTATAGTAAATAAGAAAACAGATAAAGATCCCAGCTGCATAAACATAATTTTTTTTATGGACAACAGACAACAAGTAGCCATATTAACAAATAATCTGTGTATACATAAGAAATTCTAGAAGTGCCCTGGTTGTAAGTATGCTAATTCCATACTAGAAGGAAGGATGAATCCAAAAGTTCCAGCCAGGCTATTAATTACTTTGGATAAGAAAGATCAGATCTCTTCCATTCATAGCTCGTAGGCAGGAATTCATCATGGTGTCCCATCTAACCTCAAAGAGGCCTAAAGAGGCCTACCACAAGGGACAATCCCATCAATTGCCTTGTAATGGAAGAACAGGTACTATTGGTACTCTGTGCTAATGAGTGCATCAGCAAGCACTGGATTCTGAAGCTGAGGGATTATTAGTGGTGACACATGGGAGGAGATATATACTCCTGGAATGGTACTATTGAAACACAGATTAAAGGACATGCTAGCTGACTCTTGGAAAAAGAGTGATTGAGGCAATGAGTAGCCAGTGCAAAAATCATCAGGCCAGGTTGTACCTGTCCTACTTGAGTACACTTAAGAAAGGTATGTGTAGCTGGAGCAGAATGAGTCAGAAGATTGTAGGAGATAAGGATAGTAATGTAGTGGGGCAACAGGCCATTGTAATGACTTTGTTTTTTACTGAAAATAAAATAGGCCATTATTTGTGGAGCTTTGAGCAGCAGTATGAAGCCATTTGACTCCTTTTTCAGTTGTTATTGTTTTGAGAATAAAATTACAGGGAGGGGAAAAAGTAAAAACAAGGAACCCCTTTGCAGATTATTTCAATCATCTATGCATTGAAGAGACTAGATAATTATTTTCAAACTTTTTTTTTCCCCTGAATACTCATCTGGATGACTACTTTCACTGTTTCTTGCAATTAATGTGACCATGACATGGGAGGAAAAATGATGTACTCCTTCCTATTGGACCTACCCTGCCCTGCTCTGCCAAAAAATTGACCATATTTTTTTTTCGTTCTTATCTGCCCACCGAATTAAAAAAAAAATGCCAAGATAGGACAAGTAGAAACCTGGACTTCTTAGTGGTTGTACAGAACTAATAATTTACCTTCTTAAATCTGCCTCACAACCTATTAAGATTAAATTGAGAAATAAACTTATATTGAACTTAGTGACTGAGATGTGGGATTTGTTTATTACAATAGTTAGCATAACTATAACTGATACACTGAAGTGAGTTCTGCTTAATTCAGTGTATTGGTTTAGCAATTGAACACAGCTGGCAAAGAGACTGGTATCAGAGACTGAGAAGCTTGTGGTTCATGTTATGTAGTTGTAAACATTTGTTAAAAGTCTCCTATGAGATATCTGTAYGGCAAACCACATACCTACAAGCCTATGGTACTCCAAAGTGATTGGATAAAGCTGTAATTGGGAAATATTACAAGTTACCTTGGTTACTTTTTGCTGATTTTGCCAATGTACTCTAAGAATAGTCGGGCAAGAATTGAGTTGTTTCAGCCAGGTATTTGGGTAAGTGGGAGGCTCCAGGGAACTTCAGATACCAAGGGCTTGACAGTTATGCCAAACCTGTTACTGAGGACTCAAAAGAGTGAGGAAAAGAAGATTTAAAATGGTTTGAGAGACAAGCACAAAGATTTCCTGATGATGCAAGTTTAAACTTTGCAGTAAAAATTAGTTGAAGGATACTATCATTCCAGTGCCAATTGTTCCAGATGATTTTAAAATCTCGGAAATGACAGGGAGAAAGCAGAAGACATAATGAGGCTGGGGGGTTAAGAACTATTTCTGGAAATAAACTTTGGGTAATTGCCAGCACATGGAACTATAGGAATTAAATTAATGAGAAGCCTACTTGATTTTTTTCAAGTACCAAATTATGACCCTGGACTAATAAAAATAATCTTTGTTGAGTTTAAGAGAAGGGGGAATCCAAACTTGTATAGGGAGGAAATGTTAAAGCCTAATTTGTTTCATATTTTTAGTTTAACATTAACCATAGATCTCAAAGGTTATTAGGTGAAACAGTCCCCTGTTACTTCTAGTACCTGATGATCCTGTGGGAATTAAGGTTATACAATGAAGAATGATTGACACCTTTATACTTATTCACTTTCATCTCATTGCATTAATACCAACTGCAATCTACATGCAACCATTTCAATAGATTTTTCAGATTATATCATTTCATTTTAACAAATTCACTGAACAAAGTGAACAAATGGCTTAAAATATTCCTGCGAGGAAAATTTCAAACTGAAATGATATTAATAGGAAGCAAGGAGGAAATGGTAGAACTGATATTTTTAGTATGAATTATTTTTAAGCTACATTACAAAACAAAATAATTTTATTTTCAGAGCTTAAAACTGACCAAAATTTAAAATTATCAAGAATATTTTTGAAAATATGGATTTATACACATTATCACTTACATGTGGACTTTATGTATATTATATATTACAAAGATTTTTTTGCATATTATATATGTATATATACATATATATTATATATATAATATATTTACAAAATGTTTGTAAATATATATATTTACAAATATTTGTTATATATTTACAAATACTTTTATTGTTTCAGTGTTTTATTTTTGTTCAACATTTAAAACCAATATTTTAGTGAGGATTTTATAGTAAGAATTTAGCCAAAATCAATTATCTCATGACCATTAAATGAAAATTTACTATTGCATAGAGAAAATTTTCTACAAATGCGGCTAAATAAGTGAAGTAACAAATGAATTCTCCAATATATACTGGCTGACATGAGATGAAGTCTGTTTCTTGAATGTGTGTTAGTCCTGTGCAAGAGGCTACATCTTCCCCATACATACTTTCAGGATTCCAAGCTGATGGAAATTCTGTCATGTTCAACAGTGGCTTTCAAGGTTGCTTCTAAAGTCCTTTATGTGGGCACTGAAAAGGGAGATGGCATATTAGTTTGTGTTGGAGAAGTACATGAGCCAGACCTCAAAGTGGCATATATTATGTCCACTTGTATCTCATTGACTAGAAATGAAAGCCTGTGTCCACATAAATTTGCAAAGGAATTGGGGAATATAGTCTAAGAACTCSGAACAGTATGTGAGTTTTAGTTAATAGCTTGCAAACCTGGGGGAGGCATAAAATCCACTTTCAGCTTATATTTAAATGAATATAATGAAAATTTCTCTATCACTGAGTGTAGGAAGCTGAGCCTAGTCAAAAGCAGAAGCTGCTGTGCAAATCAGTTATTTCACATAATGGACTGAACATAACCTCCATTCCATTAGAGAATGTTTGAAACTTAAATCACAAAGATGTGATGTGCCTATGACAAGTCCCTAAAAGGACGGAAGTATTCAAATATAGTAATCTAGACCTTCTGCCTTTGTTTATCCTCAGAAATAAGCTTGCTCCCTCCAGTGAGGTGTAAGATGATTTTTTTTTTTCTTTCTGTAGTTAACAGCTACATCACCAATCTGGAATAACCTTGTAGGTGTAGAGAAATTGTTCTGTATTTCTCTAGCATTATATGTAAGTGTTTATAAGCACTTATCCCTGAGAATGAATGGGACCAGATAAAACTTGATTCATACCTTCTAGTCAAAAAAGTTGTTTTATAAACATTATGAATATTTAAATAATTTATTTTCTTAATAGAAAAATGATAATATTGAATAATATACACCATAACTTATCTCAAAGTTGATAGTCATTGATAGATTAAATGTTTAAAATGGTGACATTATTAATTTTCTGACAGATTTAGCTAAATTAGAGCATTTAAGAGGATAGTATACAGTGGAATATGAAAGTGCTCAAAGACATCTAATTTTTCTATCACTTGGAATATCTAGTAACCAGAGACAAGTTTGAATGTTGCATTATCTTATATTTTTCTAATATAACAATGAATGTGCCTATTAGAGAAAAGAAATTATGATTGAGAAAAAAATTAAAATACATTTACATAACCTTGGTTTTTAATTACCATAACAATATCTCTAATTACTAGTGTAAATAAAAAGTAGAGTGTCATATGCTTTATTTCCTTGTAACTGTAGGAACTTCACTCTCTTAATAACTTATGTAAATATTGGTTTATGAAGAGACATGTGTCTATACCTATATAAATGTATCTGAATGAAGGACCTTTTAAATTCTTTAGCACTTTAGATTTTAAAAATCACTTTGAAACATAGCTAATAAATATTTATGATGTAAATAAGAAGTGTTAAAACTGAATAACATAGCCACTAAGTATAAATTTGAAGAGCTCTAGAAAAAGAAGTATCATGAAGGATTTTTATTTCTGACTCATGTGTATTTTTCATGCACTTCTTAAATAATAATGTCTAAAATTATACCTGTATCATAAGCATAAGCATTATTCTGTTATTGAATTGGGAAATTTGCTGGTTTATGGATAAAATGACTTGCCTTTGGTCAGTCATGAGATGTTTGTGATATAGTGGATCTGTGAGGAGAACTCTTTCAGCCTCCAGCTCTGTGACTTAAGAATACATAATCTTACCTTCATTGTCTTTTATTTTCCCATGTGTAAACTATAATAATATCAAACTGAGAGTAATATTTAAAAGTGGATAATGTATTAGTTGGCTTGGTTGTCATAGCAAAATTCCTTGACCATGCATCTAAAACAACAGAAATTTATTTTCTCACACTTCTGAAGTCTGGAAGTTCAAGATTAAGGGTTGGCAGAATTGGCTTCTCTTGAGGTTCTTTCCTTTTGTTTGAAGATGGTCACTTTCTTCCTGTGTCCTCACAAGGTCTTTTCTCTGTATACACTTGTATCTATTCTTATAAGTTTTATCAGATTAGAGCCTCACCATTATGAAGTTCATTTGACCTTAATTCCTTTTATAAATTCTGTATCTCTGATTTCAAAATGGAGGGCTCAGGTTTCAACATATGAATTTGGATAAACATAATGTCAGTCCATCATGGAAAATTAAATAGATTTTTACAAAACTTGCTTGTGAATTATAACGTGGCTGTTTTTGTTAGTTTTATTTTAGTTTGTCTTAATATAGGTAGGTTTTTCTCATATCATCAACAAATCTGATGATTTCCAAAACAGTTTTTTCCCTTCCAAAAATCTGAAGCATCATGTGGATCAAAATACAAAACCACATACATTGTTTGGTGATATTTATTTTTGTCGGTTTACTTTCATATTGGCAGCATTTTTAATGAGAGAGAACTCTATGTCAGTTGTCAGTAAACATTTATCTGTGCATATACCAGGAGCCAAAAGGTAGCTTTTTAAAGGAAATGGTTGCTTGTCTGTACAACATTTACAAATGGAAATGCTTTAAGCCCTAAAGCCAAACACATGTTTGCTTAGTAAGAGAAATCCTGGTAACTAAGGCCAGAGACAGCTGGTATGCCCAATAAACTTGTAAGCTTTCATTTTACATCATGGTCTTGCAGAGGCCTTTTAAATGCTCTTGTGGAAAAGGCTGAGATCTAGTTGTATGGCCATTATGTCTTAAGTTATTTTTTCCCATATCTTATTAGTTCATTAAAGATATATATACTATTAAGGTTCATTTTGTCAAAATTGTACAAGCMTGAAATATAAATTTGCTTCCATTCAATTCCCAATACTACTCATTACCCTGCCCTCCTCTCTCCTCTTGTTCCCTTTCCTCTATTTGGTTACTAACCATTCTTGTTTGTTTATAGTTATTTTTTAAAATTAGTGCATTATGAACACACCTAAAAGTAATTCTCTGAGATATACTCATGTATGCACATAGGAAAGTTTGATCAGATTCATTTACAGTTTTCTTCGTTTTTCCCATTCCCTACCTTTCCCCTTCAATTTTCTTCCTCTGCTCCACTGATCTCTCATCTGTTTTCTAAGGGATTCCTCCTATCTTTTATTTTTTTCCTCATTATCTTGAGTCATCTTATGCATATAAAAGAAAACATTTGATCCTTGAATTTCTGGGACTGGTTTATTTCACTTAGCATGATGTTCTCTAGTTTTATCAATTAAAACAACAAATGCCATTATTTCATTCTTCTCTATGGCTGCATAAAACTCACTTTTTCTTTATCCTTCCTTTGTTGACAGGCATCTATAACTTGGCTATTGTGAATTGTGCTACTATAAAAATTGTGCTGCTATAAATGTGGCTGCATCCCTATAGTATACTGATTTATTTATATTTTTTCATATTGATGAATTATAATTGTACATAATAGGATTTTTTATAACATGGTACATATTCATATGTACATACAATATGATCATATAATTTGGCTTATATTATTCAACAGTTTTTCCCCTTTCTTTTCCTCTTTCTCCTGGTATCTTTTTTCTACATTACTGATGTCCCTTTGATTTTCATAAGAATCCCTCCCCACAGCATTCTTTTCCTTTTTAATCTCTAACTTCCACATATGAGAGATAACATGAGAACCTTCTAAATTTTGACTTATTTTGCATAACACAATTGTATCTAGTTCCATCCATTTTCCTGCAAATGACATAATTTTATTCTTCTTCATGGTTGAGTAAACTCTATTGGGKGTGTGTGTGTGTGAGAGAGAGAGGGGAGTTTTTTTCTTTTTCCATTCATTTGTTTATGAATGCCTACCCCATTTTCATACTTTGGTTATTGCAAACTGTACTGCTATAAACGTGAGTATCCATGTATGACTATAATATAATGATGTAATTCTTTAGGACAAATACAAAGGAGTGGTATAGCTGGGTCAAATGGTAATTCCACTCCTAGTCTTTTGAAGAACCTTCATACTGATTTCAATAGTGGCCATGCTCTCACCCTGAACAAAAAATCCATTCAAAATGGATCAAAKACCTAGGATTTATCCAAAAACTATGCAACTCCTAGAAGAAAACATAGTTTAAATGCTCCACCATGTAGGCACAGGCAACAGCTCTCTCAATGGGACCCCTAAAGCTCAGGAAATAATATGAAGAATCAATAAATGGAATGGCATCAAATTAAAAATCTTTTGCATAGCAAAAGAAACAAGAATGCAAAAACAGAACCTACATAATTAGAAAAATATTTTGATAAAGGATTGATATACAGAATATAAAAAGAACTCAAAAAATATAACAATGAAAATGAATTAAAAGCAAACCCTCTCAAAAAAAGAAATACAAGTTGCCAATAAATACATGAAAAACATTCATCATTAGCAATTAGGAAATGCAAATTGAAACTACACTGAGATTTCATCTTATAAAAGTAAGAGTGGCAACCATCAAGAATATAAACAGTAATATATGCTAAAGAGGAAGTGGAAAGAAAGGAATACCTTTATACTGTTAGTGTGATTATAAATTAGTGTGTCAATTTTAGATTTTTTGGATATATCCTGAGGAGTGAGATAGATGGGTCATATGGTGGTTCTATTCCTAGCTTTTTGCAAAATCTCCATACTGCTTCCCAGAATGACTGTACAAATTTTCAGTCTTAACCAACAATATATAAGTGGTACCTTTTCCCCCACATCCTTGCCAAAATTTATTATTATTTGTATTCTCGATAGTTGCCATTCTCATTAGAATAAGAGAAAACTTCAATGTAGTCTTTATTACAAGAGATGTTGAATATTTTTTCATATGTGTTGGCACTTGTATTCTTTTAAGAAGTGTCTCGTTACGTCTTTTGCTTATTTCTTAATTGAGGTATTTTTATGTTTTATTATTAAGATTTTATACCCTCTCAGTGTTAATCTCCCGAGGAGCAGGTGACAAAGATCATCTCTCATTCTGTAGGCTCTCTTTTTACTCTTAATTTTCCCCTTTACTATGTAGAAACTTTTTAATTTGATACCTTACCACTTACTGATTTTGGTTTTATTTTGTTCAGATTTAGGGGTCTTGATAAGGAAGTTGATGCCTGTACTAGTATATTGTACAGTCTATA